ACACACACACACACACACACACACACACACAACACACACACACGCGCGCGCGCGCGCGCGCGCGCGCATACATCTCGATGAAGGGATCTCTTTCACAGAGAAAGAGACACGTGGGGTGACCAGACGAAGAAGACACGGCATGAGTGTTTGAGTGTGCGAGGATATGAAACAAATAGTCCCAGTCCCCACGATGCTAAACCCGATGGGCGTAAAATAAAATAGAGGGAAAAACAATCATTCGCTCAAATATCAAATATCAAAAATTCAAACCACAACCCCCTCGCGCGGCTTGAACTGCACGACTGGCCCCTCGCGGTCGCTGATCAGCCAGTCCCTCAACTGGTACTCGGTGACCCTCTCGCGGCCGGGCTCGTTCCACTGGGGCCCGCCCTCGCCGCTGTGGTCGCCGGGCTTGAGGCGCGCGTCGAACAGCCACATGACGCGCGCCACAGCGGTCAGCAGCTCCATGTAGGCCATGTTCTTGCCGACACAGCCGCGCGGGCCGGACGAGAAGGCGTGGAACGCGCTGCGGCACACCTCGACCGACGAGGGCGTCACGGTGAAGCCGGCGACGCGGGACGACGTCTCGGCATCCTCCGCGATCCAGCGCTCGGGGATGTACGAGAACGACTTGGGAAAGTACCGCTCGTTGTGGTGGATGGCGTAGATGGGCACCCCGACCGTGGTCCCAGCAGGGATATCGTGCCCGTCGATGCGCGCCCCGCCCGCCAGCACGAGTCGGTCCAAGAGGCCCGGCACGGGCGGCGTCATGCGCATGGCTTCGTCGACGCAGGCGCGCAGGTACGGCAGGCTGGTCAGGCGGGCTGAGTAGCGGATATCCTCGACGGTGTCAAACGCGCCACGCACCTCGGCCTGCAGCCGCGCCAGCACGCGCTCGTCGCGCAGCAGGTAGAAGAACAGCCCCGACATGGCCGTCGAGCTCGTGTCGCTGCCCGCCCCGATCAGCAGCGCCGCCTCGCCGATCAGGTCTTTGGGCATGAACTGGTCCCCTGTCTGCGGGTCCTTGGCGTGCAGTAAGTAATAGAAGAAGTCCCGCCGTCGGTCCTCCTCGGCTTTCTCTGCGTCTGCCTTTTCCACGGCGAACCGCCGCTCCACGTATACAGACACGTCCTGTCGGAAGCGGACCTTGTTGAGCAGGTTCTTCGACCGCATCAACCTCCCAATCACGGCGAGGCGGGCTGGTTTCATCAGCGGGAAGAGGAGTTCGCGGATGGGGATGAAGGCGACCTTTTTTTTTTAGACAAATCGTTAGTGCCTTTTCCACATTTGAATCGAAGATGAGACAGAGACGGGATCAATCTTGAAGGGTAGGAGGGTGAATTGGAGATTCTCTGGAATGAGAAATCCCACCAGGCCGAGACGCACCTGTTGTTGGAACCGAGCGGCCGAAAGGAGTAGTTCCATGATATACGACGCCCCCGACTTCATGGAGTTGAAGCTCGCGCCAAAGCAGAGCTCGCCCAGCACATCGAGAGTCAGCAGGGTTGACCACTGTCCCATGTCACGTTCCTTGCCCCATGCCGTGGCAGGCTTCTCCCGTGTTCCTTCGTCGTCGCTGTTGCTGTCACTGGCCTGACCGAGATGGGCGCACCATTTCCGAATCTGTGCGAGCATGTACTTGTCCAGGCTGTTCATGGCGCGGTCCGAGAAGGCGTTGTTGAGAAGCTTGCGTCGCGCGGCGTGGAGTTGGCGGTCCGAGATGATGTGCGTCGTGACGCCCGGGTTGATCGTCTCACCCACGTGCGTCCAGCCCGTCTTGATCATGTTGGCCTTGCGGTCCGTGTAGATGTCGTAGAGGGCTTGAGCGGTCCGAAAGGATAGTTTGTCGGGCCCGAACCGGACGATGTCGCCTGTCAAGTTTCCAAGTCAGTGTCCCGGTGTTCTTTGTCATCCCCGGCGCCTCCATGTCTGTCTCTTTATCCGTCTGTCTGAACCAGCTAGACCACCAGCGTGTGTATGGGTGTTTATTTACCATATTGCTCGTGTATCAGATGCAGATCGATGTGCCTCCTCCCTTTCCAGGCGGACCTTGTTTCGCACCATTGTGTCAACTTCCACAGCAGAGGTCCGGGATACTTGGCCAGTGGGTGGAAGTATAGTCGATAGATGGCAAGACCAATAAACTGTAACAGTGTTAGATGTGATCAGGCGGCAATGAGAAAAAGGAGCTTTATTAGACAAGGAGGACTCACATAGACGAAATTTGCTGCCGCGAGCACCGATAGCAAATCTATCACTGAGAAGACGGCCATGGCTCTAACTTTTCCCTTGTAGTATTACCCAGAAACGATCGCTATGGGTGAGATAATATAGGGGTGAGACTCGAAGCACTACGGTAAGACCTTCAACGGACCGCGCGAAAAAGAGTGATCTGTCGTGCTTCTTATACCAGTTAGCACACGATCATGCTACTCCTCCAGGTACCTGTCTACCTGAATCACCCACGGGATGGGAGGAGGGATTTTGCCATGTTCGGCTGACTGTCAGACTCCTTGGCTCAAGAGCGCTTCGGTCCATCATGAAGCGGCGGAGAGACTTGAATGAGAGAGAAAATGGAGCCGAATCCGAAAAGCCAAGGTGGAGATAGAGAGGTTGTGGTAATCCTTCGCCATGTACTCCCTATGACCAGCCAGCTCGCTGGGCCGGGGTGATGTAACACTTCTCGAAATAGAGCTGCTGGACATTACTCGCACTCGACTTTAGCCCGGCAGATAGAGATGCTACCTAGGGGTTCCCGTCTGAACTCGGATCTCCACTGATGAGAAGCCCACATTTTCCCAGGAGGGATTCTGTTATGTCGTCCGAAGCATTACTCGTACGAGTTGTGCTGCTGATCGGCTGGGCGTGTTACAGGGGACAGGGTGGTTTGCGAAAGGGTTGGATGGTGTCCCACTCAAGACCCAGGTCACCACAAACAGACACACTGCACGTGTGGTGAGCAAAGCCGTTGTCCATCGCGTCGGATGTAGCGTGGCTTTGTATCAGCGTATCCAAAAGGGGCAAAGATTACAGCGCCATGACTGGCACTGCACTCGCTTAGTAGATTTGGTTTATAGTTTTTTGCGGGCAGAACCAGGGAGACATCATGGTTACAATGGAAGAAGGGGGGAAACGTGGATCCTAGAGACCCTCTACCTGATATAGTCATCCATGCTAGAATGGAGACATTTGCGCGAGTACCGAGTCCTTTTGTGCAGCTGCAGCCAGGCCGGTGCCGATGCTGGCACGGCTTTATCATCCGACCAAGATGTGATGAGAGCGGAGCATCCATGTTGTGTCATCCTCCACCTTCCCACTTAAGGGGACGAGAATACGGACCCGCGGCGGATGTGGGCCAGGGGGGACGCTATTGGGCTTATTTGGGAAGGTTCTGTCGATTTAAGAAGTTGGTTGGGTGATATGAATGGGCTCTGTGAGATCATCATACGCCTGTCAAGCGCAGGAAGGGTGAGTATGTAAGAGGCTTGATTCCGCTACGCTCTGCCAAGGGGTGTCAGCAAGTCTTGCACGAGCAGGAAACGGTCAAGCGGCTGGGGAAAGATGCCCAGTGAAACAATTTGCCGAGCCGCGAAGGAGGATGCGACCGCAATTTTCCGCGGGGCTATGAAGAAATTGCTGGGCGTATACGGAGAAGTTATTCATGATATCCGTTGAGTGAGCTGATGGTCCGTGATGGAAACAAATGTGATGGACGATGGTGGATGGTGGATGGTTGATGGGTGGCGGTCAAATCCTCGTGGCCATAACCACACCACCGCCATTGTTGACTCGGATGAGGCATTACATGTTTCGGCCATAGTGTTATCACCAGTATTCAAACCCAGATGACGGGGATATCGGATCTCATTGACGAGATTCTCGTGTCTGGCTGTGGCTTCGAGACGTTGTAACACGCATGCGGCAACGATTGTGATTCGTCGGGAATTTATCTAAGCAAAGGGCAGCATGTCAGCAATGATGCTGACCTGGAATAAGCGAGCGGGAAACAAGTTGACCAATCAAGGTGAAGAGGACCTGGGCTTCATTGAGAGACGAAGAGGGTGACAGGGATGATATGGGTGTCTAGGTAGGACATCTTGAAAAGGCAATGATAAGAGACAGGGAACAAGAAAGAAGAGAGTGGTGAGTGAAAGAAAAGCACAGCCTCGTGAGCCTTGGCGAGACTGACGAGGCTGGAAATTCGAGTTTGTCATTGGCCAATCGGAATCATCAACCACGAAATGGAAGGAACAGAATAAGACCTTCTCCTTGTAGAAATATTCTAGAATTAAAAACGAACCGAATTTGAAAGCGTTTGGTTGGTGGGCTGGTTCTCCCCCTCCATGTCCCTCTGCGAGGTACGCCACTCTGTCTCTCCTCATCCTCCTCCCAAACTCTCCCATTTTCTCCAAAACCATCGGAAAAGGGTCAACAATGCCGTCGTCCACATCTACTGGGGCCCTATTTTTTTTTTGGCCCTTTACCCCAATTCCCTGCTTGTTGTCCGATCCCAGAGGATTACAGATTGATTTGATTCGTGGTTCGCTCATATCAAACAAGACTGGACCAAGACTAGAACACATGGTGATTCTAACGCTTGGAATTTCTGCATCTTCTACGTATCCCCCGGACTAAAGTTGTTTCCCATACCACTGACCCAGAGCCGCAATTCACACTTACATAAGACCTGGAATGAGAAACCTCCTTCAGTTATAATCTTTCTCCCCTACTCGACTTTCCTCACCAATCTCCTCGAAGCTGGGTAGCGGCGGTCTGCAAAAGATGGATTTATCAAAGATCTCAAGCCTAGGGTTCGTGGGATTAGGGGCCATGGGACTTCCCATGGCCGGCCACCTTGCTGCTAAGCTGCCCGAGAACGTGCACATGTACGTCTATGACATCAACCAGTCGAGTGTGGACCAGCTGCACCACGACTACCCGCAGAGAGTGACCAAGTGTTCGAGCGCGAAAGAGGTGGCGGATAAATCAGTGAGTGATGGCGGTTGAGAAGGAGGCTCAAGAGCTGAGGAACAAAGATCTTGCTAACGTGTCACGCGGCGAATACCAGGATGTCATCATGACAATGCTACCCGAAGGGAAACACGTCCGCCTGGTATATATGGAGGGTAGCGGCGACACGACCATCTGTTCCAGCGACGTCTCGGGGAAGCTGCTGATCGACTGCTCGACAATCGACACGGCCAGCAGCCTGGCAGTCAAGGACTATGTCAACCAGAAATTCCCCACGACGGCCTTCTACGACGCCCCCGTGAGCGGCGGCGTGGTAGGCGCGCAAAAGGGCACCATCGCCTTCTTCCTGGGCTGTGACGGCGCAGACCCGAACTTGCCTCAACTCACCCGCCTGTTGAGCCTGATGGGCAAGGAAGTGATCCCCTGCGGCGGCCCGTCCAAGGGCCTCGCGGCCAAGCTGTCCAACAACTACCTCTCGGGGATTATCGCCATCGCCGTCTCCGAGGCCATGGACATGGGGATGCGCTCGGGTTTGGATCCGCGGGTGCTGCACAAGGTCTACGGCGCGGGCACAGCGCAGAACACCATCTGCGACCGTTTCTGCCCCGTGCCGGGTGTGTACGCTGAGGCACCGTCGTCCAAGGGATACACCAATGGTTTCAAGGTGCAGTTGATGCGCAAGGACTTCTCGTTGGCTCTGGAGATGGCCAAGCGCGTCGGCGCCAACAACGTCCTGGGCGAGGCTGGCCTGGCCACCTACGACGGCGCCAGCAAGGATCCCCGGTGCATGGATCTGGACTCTCGGGTGGTGTTTCGGTACTTGGGCGGAAACGAGGATTGGCAAAAGGACGCCGACGAGGCTACGGCCAGCAAGCTGTCATGATTTGATGATACTATACCAATGTTATACTGGGTACTTCGTCACGTATTGCTTGGAATCTAGAAATAGAGAGTGTGTTCGGCAGGGAGAGATGGTAGAGCAAGAAGGATTGATATTCTCTGTCTCATTCTTGCTGTATGTAAACTCCCTCCAGCCTTGCCACTTTGCGGACATATCTATTCATCGGTACCATCTAATCTTGTACTCGGTATACTCGTGACCATTCCGATCGTCTCTTGCCGCACTGCTACGATAATGGCAATGCTTACCTTGTGTCTAATCGCGTCGGACCCCAATCCTCTTTCCCAACATCCCTTTTTCCCCCTGACGTGTATGGCTCCCCTTTTCCACCATCTTGCGCCCTTGCGAGCCTCTCGCCCTCTTCCCGTCGCCACCACCACTTTGTTCCCGTTCCATTTCCCGCTATTCCACCCACCGTTTTCACGCGAAAGGTGTTGCTCGTTGCTCGGTATGGTTGGGGAAAGGCTTTCCGAAAAGAATTGGAGAAGAGGGATTTTGGAGAAAGAAGAAAAAAAAAGTGCCGAGGCGGAGCGGATGACTCGCCCCGATTACGGAGCACGGCACGATAATTGGATTCGGGTGGCATGGTGGGGTAACCAAATAGACAGAGAGAGGGAGAGAGGGACGGCGGACGCAAGACGAATGCGTGTCAATGGAATGAATTGTCTTCCTAGAGGGATGGAGGGGGAGGGGGAGAAGGATAGGAAAAAGGTTTTGTCTTGTTTGGGTTTTTTATTCTTCCTTTTCTTTTTTCTCTCCCTTGTAGTTTGCTAAAGAAAAAGGTGTATACATACTGTAGGTTACATTGTCAGCAACTAGCCAGAAAGCCAATCGATCAATCAGTCAGTCATTCCGTCCGTCAGTCCACTTTATCTCCAACTCGAGAGAGGAGTAAATAAAAAGAGAGACACTGACAAACTCCGCATAGACAATTCACAGAAGAAAAGAGAAGAGAAGTCAGAGAACTCCATTGAGCCAGACGGTCAGACTCGGACACATCCCTCCTTCACCACCACAAGACAATCAGCCCAGATCTATATCGACCAACCCTCCCAATCCAATCCAAAACAAACATGTCTTCCTCAAACACCCAGAAACCCACATCCAGCGTGGACCCCGCCCTGCGCCCATTCCACGAAGACCTCTTCCAGGCCGGCCTCAATGTGCGCCGTGCCGTGGTGGGCGATGCGTACGTGGACCGAGCGTTGGCCAACGGGTCGACTGAGTTCTCGCGGGTTGGTCAGGAGCTGGTGACCGAGTTCTGCTGGGGCTACGCGTGGACGCGGCCGGGCCTCTCACGCCGCGACCGCAGCCTGCTCAACATCGGCATGCTGATGGCGCTTAACCGCGCGCCCGAGCTGGCCGTGCACGTCCGCGGCGCCCGCAACAACGGCCTCAGCGAGGAGGAGATCCGCGAGGCCATCATCCACGCCACCACCTACTGCGGCGTCCCCGCCGGCGTTGACGCTTTCAAGACTGCTGAGAAGGTCCTCAACGACATGGCCGAGAAGGGTGAGATGCCTAGACAATTGGCCGCCAAGAGCAAGGATGCTTGAACGTGTTAAGACGCATACCATGCCGCATTGTCACGGTTCAGATGACGAGATGACGGGAAGAAAAAGAAAAAGAATAGATAACTTTATGTACGGAAGAAGGAAGCCTCAAGGGGCAGAAAGAACCTGTGAAAGACTTGAACGGGTTGCTTCCCTGCTGCCCTCCAGGCCAAAACCGACCAAGACAAAAGTCAACCTCATCCTTGTCCTTCGAATTCATTCCCACTACCGAGTACTTTCTTGCTTGCCTGCTTCACTTGTTTATTTGAAGACTGTTTGTAATTTTCTTTTTTCTTTTTCTCTAGAAACTATTGCTTTTGTGGTAAATTTCGTTGCCTTGAAACACAGATCTCAGAACCTTGAACTCGGAACTCGCCTTCGCTAAATATGCTCATGCTGCTGGAAGATCGCGCCAGGAAGATTGAAACCACACACAGAGATTTGCATATATCGCAATTTCGCCTTCCCTCCCAAAAAAACAGAACTCTCATACATGACTCCGACGGTTGGTTTTTTTGGTTCATCCTGCTGGTTGTGCCCATCCGTAGCTTTTTACTCCTCTACCCTAGCGGAATGGGTCGGGATAAAGGTATGTAATCCCATGAGAGATGATTTAGGTGTGCTGCCTACACCGCTTCAGCGGCCATTATGTCTCGGGCCTTGGTCTCCTGGACAGGCGGTGCCCCTCGAGCCGTTATCCCCTCGCTGTTGCTTTCGACCTGGGCCTTTGCGCGCTCAAAATCGACCGACGTCGCGGCCGTGGTGGCTTTGGCGCGTAGGGCACTTCGGATCTCGGCCACGGACCGGTCGTTCCACAGCTCGTAGTCGCTCATGCTCAGCGGGAAGAGCACCTTGTTGTGCGCGGTGGTGATGAAGCCTTCGGTGTTGGGTGCCGGCATGCTCGTCAGCACGTCAATGTCGGACGCCAGTTCGCGGCAGTAGTCGTCGAGCGGAAGGTCGTTGACGTCGACGCCAAAGGGGTTCTCAATCTCGTACCCGATCGCCGCCAGGCCCAGGATGATGTACGCGGCCAGCACCACCCCGAATATCGTCACCCACCCGAGCTTGCTGTAGATCTGGAACGGCAGCGTCAGGATGTACACCCACGTGATCTGCGAGATGGAGATCGAGTACGCGATCGGCACCGGCGTGTTCAGCACCCGTTCCGTACCCGTCAGGATGTCGGCGAGCTGCGCGATGCTGTTCATCACCGTCGTCTGGTGGATCGGTAGCGTCAGTTGCCCGTTGCTGCACACCTCGTCCAGGTACGCTCCCAGGTAGTTGAGGATCTCGAGCGGCAGGTTGCCCAGGTTGTCCCGCGACCGCTTGATCAGCTTGCGCGGGTTCGACTCGGCGAACGACACCCCCAGGTACTGCCCGGCGGCTTTCCACGAGCTGGCTCGCTTGGGTTGTAGCTGGCTCTGGTCCGCCTCGCTGGCCAGGGTGTGCAGATTCCCAATCAGCGGTTGCAAATCCGGGTAGTCGGTCGAGGGCTCAAACCGGAGTCGGTGCTTCAGGGCCACAGCGAAGGCGTTGATGAGGTTCAGCGCGGTCAATTTGGCCAGTAGCTCCGACTTACCCTGTTCCTCGCTCACGGAATGTCGCTCCTTGGTGTGGATCCAGATAATCCTCGCCAGATTCCTCGATGTCACAATCAACTGTGCCCAGTATTTCCGCCCCTCGCTGTATCTTTCATAGGCCGTCGTCGACCGGAACGACAACGCCAAACTGACCACGAAACCGGTGATGGTGAGGAGGACCGAGTCAAACACCAGTTCGTACACGAACTTGTTGATGCAGGTGAACAACGTCGCCCAGCCGGCCACGAACGCGAGCGGCAGGATCATCTTGGGCAGCACACTACCGTGCAGACGCGCAAACCAGGGCCATTTGGAGTGGTGGTTCATGTCCCGGGGTCCGACAAAGAGGTCTTCGATATCGAGTGAGGTGTGTGTGGGAGCTCGGAGTGCCAGTGGTTTGAAGTTGGTTACTCGACCGGGAGAGGCCATCGTTTTCGGGTCGTACGAGGACGTTGAAGATCCAAAGTCGTTGACCTCGAGTTTGAGGTTCTTGGGTGTCCCCGGTTTAGCCATGTCGAACAGGTGAGCTGAAGACGCTGTATAGTAGAATTATAACCTCCACATGTACAGGTTCGACAGAACTTGTGTTTTGTAAGGTGGCAAAGAAATATTAACGATAGTGGTGATCAACACCCATAGAAAGGACAAACACACAGGGCAGAAAAGCAACAACGCTGGCAGAACAACAGCTTTTAACGGATCGGCTGGGGGAGAAGAATGAGACTTTCGACGAGGGACTGAGGTGCAAGAAGAGAAAAGAACAACGGTTAAGGCTGCGACACGAGAAACACGTAACCCTGGTACTTTAGTCCGTGTCTTATGTAACTTTGGCATCCCCTTCCTGGTGCTTACTCCGTAGGTACCAGTGCGGATGAGAAACGAAGTGCTGCATCCACCTCGCATGGCATGGTCGACTTCCCCGAGAAGACTATAGCGCCATAGGATACCCACTGGGGGCCGACTAGGTAGCGCCATTGAGGGGTGTGCTGGGGTCGAGAACAGAGGAAATTTGTCGAACACGAATAGCCAAGATGTCGAAAAGAGTCTGGAAACAGGAGCTGAACTGGAGCTGAAACATGTCCATAGCCAATTGTCCCGGACTGCAGAACGCTCATTGCCCGGAACATTATTCAGTCTTGGACGTTGGACCACACGCCGTTGAGCAGAACCGGTCAACGGCCTGCATGATTCCACCTGGGCAATTGCAACGCAGCTTGCCTTGAAACAAGGAGTACATTAAAAGAAAGGACCAAAGAGGTAAGGGACAAGGCTTGGTATAGAGTGCCTCGGATTGGTAGTTGGTTCAACGGTTAGGGGGCAAAACTCAAGCTTTTGGGCGGGCGGCGGTTCCCCTTGTATCGAAGAAAAGACGGAAGGATGCTTTGCCTCGTCCTGGTACAGTGGTGCTTGGCTTTGCCAATGGGGTTCTGTGATGTGTGATCGAGAAAGGGGAGGGAATTGACCAGGCGGCCAAGCCAGCCAGCCAGGTTCCACTCAATTGTTGGTCTCCATGGCGGAATCGAGATGCCGACACCAGCGGAGGGTCTGGGGGGACTCGCAATTAGAAACGAAAAAGGGCATTCGCTTGCAAGTCCGCTGTCAGTCGGTCCGTGAGAGGAGCCCAATGCTGGTGGTTATGCAGTTGAGCGGCCTGACTTCGTTCGATATGTACATCGTAGTCTGCCGTTTGCTGAGCTGGTCAACATCAGCCGCTGCAAGCCTGACATCAGACATTGTGAGAGAAGGATCGCCAGTACGAATAGGACATGTGTGGAATGTGCCAACGGGACAGTGGCCAGCAGTGGTCCTTGTATAGAGAGAAAACCTTCTCGATAAATGGTGGAAAGACGTTTAGGGTGCGGATTTGTTATAGCATCCAGATTCTTCCATCTCTTGAGTACAGCTTCTCAGCTACGGGTTCAGCATTCACAAAAGATCGACGCAGATCATCTCCTCTGTTGTGCAAATGGGGGATTTCGGAGGGATTTGGGGGATCTGGGCCTGCTTGCGCCCCTCTCCTGGCCCCCTAGGGATCGTGAAAGAGTTGATGAAAAAGGGGGCGCAGCTGATTCCAGCTGCAGAATATGAAGCGGGTGGGAGGAACTGACACTTCGGTGGCTTGTTGCGCAAAGCATCTTTTCATTCGCAGGAGGCAAAGGAACAAAGGAGGAGGAGGATGCACCGTCGAACTTGCCCTTTTCGTCCTTTGTCTATACAACTAAAACCCTCGACTACAATCGCATCCTTGACAACCTCACCGGCGCTCGTCTCATCTCATCACTCGTTGCTCGTCGCTTCAGGCCACCCTCGTTTTATGTATGATGCAAATATCGCTATTGTCACTCGCTCGGAGGTGACACATTCTTTCTTTTCTAACTTTTTAACCCAATCCATGTCCTCCCTTTGCCATCCCGTCCCTCGCTACTGGTCCCGCTCCCTGTGACGATCACCATGCTCTTCTCTGCGCCCACGCGGCTCAACTTTATTGTCGTCGGTCTCGTCATTACCACTTTTATCCTGTTCTATAGCTCCTTTCGTCCTCCCCGCCCCGAAGCGCAAGATGTTCTTGGTTCTGCAGACGCAGACGCAGACGCAACCCCTACTCTCCTCGAGGCGTCCCAAGCGTATTCTCCTCCCAGAAATACTCATACCGACGAGGTAGCGCACCGGCTTCAACCAGATGACTTCGTCCCTCAAGTCCAGAATGAAACACTGGGCTTTCAAGAGATATACATGATTTCATTACCTGGAAGGACGGACAAGCAAGATGCTTTTGCCATGCAAGCAGCCTTCTCCGAAATCTCTTATACACAAGTGGATGGAGTGTACGGCCACGAAGTTCCTGTCAAGGCACTACCTCACGTATGTTGCCGGACGGAGAAAACCCATTATGAGTGATTGCTAAACAGTGAGCAGACCATGAGCCAAAGTGCCAATGTCATCGGTTGTTGGCGCGCACATTTGAATGTCTACCAGAAGATGGTGCACGACAAAGTTTCGTCAGCTCTGATCTTTGAGGATGACGCCGATTGGGACGTCTCTCTTAAAGAGCAACTGGTCCAGTTCGCCCGGGGTTCGAGATTCATCACCAACACTTCAGAGGATGCGTTTTCCCATTCGCCGTATGGGCAGGATTGGGACATACTGTGGATTGGACACTGCGGCACCTGGGTTCTTCCAGCCGACAACCGTCGATTCTTTGTCATCCCAGACGACTTCACCGTCCAGCCGCCTGAAGCTCGCGTCGACAACGTCGACCAACCCGACATGAGTCGCTGGGAAAGCGGCCCTCATGGCAACAACCGCACGAGAATAGTCTTCCATTCAGAAGGAGGAGTCTGCACGGCAGCATACGCCATTTCCCAAAAAGGCGCACGGAAAGCTCTCTACTACCTCTCCATGATACCCTACAACAGCCCAGTGGACTGGGGTTTGGCCACTCTGTGCAAGAACAAAGAGTACGAGTTCAACTGCGTATCACCATGGCCGCAACTCGTTGGGGTCTCCCGACCAACAGCGAACACGGCCAAGTGGAGCGACATCGGATATGGTCCGGACTCGGAGAGAGTGGTCGAGGAAGGGAGCTCGCTGCATCTGGTCTATCCCATGCGGCAAAACATTCCCAACTTCCTGCATGGAAAGACGGTATTCCGCAGTCAGTATCCTGACATCGCACCGCCGATGAGTATCAAGGAGATTGGGAAGGCGGTTGGTCATGTTGAAATTCTGGAACCTCAGCATCTACCCGAACACGGATGATTTGGGACAAGGAATGGTTTCGTCCTTGAGCACCACTTGAATACCGCCGGAAACTCGACTTTTTGACTGCACAGTCGTTCGGACCCAAACCTCCAACTCATTGATGGTTGTCGTCGGACGAAGCGGCTATACGCAAGGCGCAAGCGCGACGTCGAGTGGCCACAGCTGCAGGCAGGTCAGACTCCTTGAGCGACATCCCGCCTCACCTTCAAACCGGCTGCGTTGAGTGTGGTGGAGTCTGTGCAGTCTGTGCGAGCTCCAGAAACACAGCAATGTCCCCTGCCGCTCCCGCCCACCGCACCCGCCTCGAGACATGATGCACCCCGAGCCTGAAGCTCGCCAGTCAGCGCAATGCCTGGTCGGCGATTGAATTGCACCATATTGAAACCACGGGTCGTCTTGGATATATTTGAGATCCGACAGCCGTAGATGAATCCGGCCTGGAGAAAAAGTTTGGACAAGAAAACTTTGGGATTTTGGTTTTACATAGTTGAGCGATACCCCTGTTCTTGGTTTTAGATGCATGCAGCAATTGACGATTTCTACTCGGTACTGGTGTCTGAATCGGGGGTTGCGCTCTCCGGATATTCTCCTATCACAGCTTTGTTCCCCTCTCTGACGCGTAGAGACGAGACGCGTATGGGAAAATCTAGATCGGTGATCGATCGGTAAACACAAACTAGGCAGGATGAGTGTCTAGTCCATTCCTGTGATTGGGAACTGGACTTTGCTATGTGGTCGATTTGCGAGGTCCGAAACTCCCCCCTTTGGACGCAGGGATCAGGGATCGAATCTGTTGCGCAACCATTCGGCCTGTGCCTGCGCCATCGCCTGCGCCAGTCCCTTTTCCACCCACAAGCACAGCACAGCACAAACAAAAACCACAACCCTTGCAATCATCAGCCGAAGCCTGAGATCCCTCCGACCCCTCTCTGTAACAGGTCAGCGCCAGCCACGGCTCCCATTCAAAGTACAAGTACCCAAAAGTATTTGGCGGAGGCCGAGAATCCTCGTTCCAGATACAGTAAATACCATGGCCTATCCCCCCAAGCCCACAGTTTGCCCCTGAGCTTGTCCGACTCTGGAAGAATTAGGCTTTGGTCTGAGATATGCCAGAGTCTTGGTCTTTTTCTCCCTTGCTGGGCCGCGCCGCATCATTGGGGAACATGTGTCAATTATTCGTGCGAGCCTGGCAAATTCGAGATCCTTGTCCTTGTCCCTAGCTAATTCCCTTTTGCTCGGTGCAGCTGGTCTGATGCTTTCCAACTCACAGTCGCTCATTCAGTTGACCTCTCTTTCTTTGAGAGACTTGGGATCCCATAAAGAGCAGCAGCTGTGTGTGGGAGGAAATCGTTAACACACAGACCTCGCCCTCCTTTTCGGCCCCCCTCCTTTTTGCATCCAGTCCCGTCCTCTCGATCCTTCCTCCAGCAATGGACCTGAACCCCTCGTCTCGAAATGGAAACCCTCTGCAACAACTCTACGGATCGCGGCGGTCATTACGCTGGATCGTGTTGCTCGTGCTCGCCGCCCTCGCCATCATTTATATGACCGGAACGACCTATGAACCCTACAGCGCGGCCGGAGGCGGCGGAACCAGCTACTCATCCTCCTCATCGGGGTTCAAACATTCACACAAGAAGCAGGCGAAAGCCCTGAGTCCGGTGGATTTGATGAAGAGACCCATCTCCCGCGACCTGCAGACCATCCCCAAGCTGATGCACCAGAGCTGGGCGTCAACCGAGCTGCCTGCCAAATTCGAGCGCTGGAGTTCGACGTGCAGACAACAACACCCGGACTGGGAGTGGGTGTTGTGGACGGACGAGGACAATGAAGAGTTGGTCCGGACACATTTTCCCTGGCTGCTGAAGACATACCTGGGTCTACCCAGCGTCATCTACCAGGCGGATTTGGTGCGAAATCTCTACATGTACATGTTTGGAGGGTGAGTACTTTGGGAATATAAACTTACGCCGATGTTGAGTTGACTGACGGGTGTAGGGTGTATGCCGATTTGGATGTTGAATGTCTCCGGCCTGTTGACGAGATGTTTGCCCAATACAACGTGACAACCGCGTCGCACGCCAAACCCAAACCACAATCCGCGCAGAATATGCTGAAGAGCGGTCGAAAAGCCTTCTTTGGCCGAATGGGCACCGACCACGGCTCCTCCAACTCGATCCCCAACGCCTGGATGGCTTCGACGCCGGGTCACCCCTTTTTCCTGATCGTGCTCGAGTCGGTCATGAAGAGGATGACGGAAGAAGGGGACATGGACAACGTGGAAGGCATCACGGGTCCAGGAAAGCTGTACGACATGATCAACGAATACCTCCAGGAGGACAGCAAATGGGCAGGGGAGGCCCTGGACAAGCACGTGTCCAAGAATCCCACGGCAAAGCAATTCAACCCGCGCAAGGGATTGAAACATTCCATCGAGGTGCTCCCTTTCCAGTACATTTACCCGTACTCGTGGGAGCGAGACGGCGAGGCTTATCGAGAGGTGTGCTGGGCTACCAAGGAGGCCTTCAACGCCGAGCGATGCAAACAGCTCCTCGCGACCGATCACTGGCCGAGTTATACGATTACCTACTGGAGTCACACCTGGACGAGTGGCGGCCATGACGACGGCAATGTACAGAAGCTTGAAATGGCCGATCGATGAGGAAACAAGAGGGAGGGGGTCGATTACGGAGCCAGCATATAAGACATTTACGTGCGCGCCCTGGGAGTTGGAATGTTTTTTGATGAAGGTTTGTACCTGGATGGTTCTATCCCCTGGCGAGGAGTTTCGTTTCTTGGAGTACAAAAAGATGTCTTCTTTTTTGGGGTCAACTTTTTTTGTTTTAACGAAGATCATTAGATGAGAATTCTTGGGCCGGCCGGGATTTTTCTTTGGTCGTGATATTTTTGCGCGGCGTCGGGGAATGGAGGGAGGGATCTATATCTCTGTGTATATCATCGGCATGTCATCGTCGTTGTTGTCGGTGTCTTGTTTTTGAGAGAGGGAGAACGGCAGAATTCGGGGTATGGGTTGACAAGATGAAATCGGTGTTCACAGTCCCAGGTGTCAGTTGTCTGTCTCGTCCTGTTGGAGGATAGACAGTGAAAAACGAACTCAGATCAATGAAATAATAGAAGTATGGATCTTATGGGGTGTAATATCAGACGTTTCTACTATTGAGCATTCGAGCCTTGTTTCTACTGGTTTTCGAGATGAGACAACCGGCGGGGAAAGGGAGAAAAAGAGTTGATGGAGAACGGAATACCGAGTACCGCGATGTATCGTGCCTTTGTCTTGCCTCGCATTTTGGGGGGGCAAATGGTTGTACTGTTCTGTTCATTCGGCCAATCTCCGCCATCCCGCTGTACTGTAATATCCGTTATCTGTCCAAGGGATCCAAGATGAACCGTTTTCTTGCAGTGCCTGGGTCTCTCATCTCGTTGTCCTGATATCGTCGCCCCTCTTTGAGTAGGCTTCTATCTGGTTGATAGCTCTATCTGGGTGGTTAGTGGTTGTGGAGGGACCTCGCTGGTATTTCTCTCACTAGCACGGTACAGTACAGCACAACACAACACAACAGAGCAGATGAAGAGTGCGTTAGTCGTATATGAATGTGTGTGTGATCAGCTTAAAGAGGGTCAATGGATGGTAATTGAGACGAACTAGGGACCGATACATATCTACGCTCTCTATCCCCCATCTCACATATCTATTACTGAGTGACTGACTGGTCTGTCGGAGTTGACCACTCGATCTCTCATATATAGTCGATAGAATCCGCTGCCGGGGTTTATTTGGTGGACGAAGGCAGAAAAGGAGGGAAAAAGCAATATCATCATATCAACATATCATTATATCAACACAAACGGCTTATACACACACACACACACACACACACACACCCACACACTCTCTATCCATCTCTCTCTCTCTCTCTCACTCTCCCTCTCTCTCGGCTCCCAAACGTAATACGCTTTTTCTCGAACTCTCCCCCTCGTGTCACTTAAA